CTAATATTTCGGAAACAATCACAGACGAAGTGTTACAAAGGCTATATGGACCAGATACTGTAGTCGCCGAAATAAAGTATCAAGGGAAACCTCCGCAACAAATTCGTTTAAGTGATATTCCCGTTACAGAAAAATTAGAAAAATTTGTTGAAGATGTAAAGTGAGTCCGTCATAAGATACATCGACTCACATTTTATGTTTTTTATTGGATAAGTTGGTAACCAGGATGATTTTACATTGCCAGGTACGGAATATATCCATTGACTGCATTTATGGCAAAATTGCCTCCACCTGTCCGACCGAGGGCGATATCGCCCGAAGTGACAGAATCAGTTAAATCGGTTACGCCCGAACCCGTGGACGTGGAATCTCGAAGAGTAGTTAATATGATGTGTAATGTTAAGCCTAGAGAAGATAGTAGTGAATTACTTGTGAGTGGCACATTTTGAGCGAGGAATAGCTTATGGAATAGCGGTGTCTACGTAACTTAAATCGATATATTATTTTGTGCAGATGACAATATTGTTGCGAATGGATGACAAAATGAATAGACAATTGACATGTCCTGTGAGCCAAATGGACACCTCGATGCTTCTCGCACAAGAACTTGTACATTTTGGATTTATTAATGAGGTAAATTGTCTCGCGCGATGTCGCCGATAAAAGCGATATTTTCGATATTTCGTGCGAAATTTATTAAGATATTTTTGCAGAACGATCGTGATAAAATAGCCAATTTAATTGAAGAGGCATTGAGGAGATATTTCAACAAACAAATAGTGACACCAGGAATGGTATCATTAACTAATTTTCCTACTCAAACTACTTTATTGCTGCCTGGTCCGGAATTTCCATGTTTGCAACACTTTGACAATTCCGTGTGTAACGCAACAACATCCAATAGTGATAATGCAACTAACCTGCTGCCAAAAACCTCAGGTATACCTGTGTCAAGTAACAAAACGAGTAAACTTCACGATAATGCAGAACCGCCAACAATCAGAGAGAGCGGTAGTTAACCATCCAGGATATCTGATAACTCAGTTCACTGTGCCACTTTGCACGCTTTATGTATAGACTGGCTATGTATTTTTATATTTAAGTAAAAAGGAAGAAGAGGAATGGAAGTAAAGGTGGGAAGGTGCCGTGGCTACACCTCTAAGCTGAACACGACTGCAAATTAGGAACTGCTTAGCATCTTTACTTTCGTATCTAAACTATCGAAATAATACTTCCGTTGTCAAATTACATTGGCCCTCCTATTCTAGAGTTTTTATGTTAGACAGGTCTTACCTGTTATATCGTTATATAGATATGCGATAAATTGACAAAAAAAATGTATAAATCTAATGTAAAAAGACCAAATATTTGTGATTGTATAATTAAGGAGATAGTTAGAAGTCTGCTGGATATTGATTCATATTTATACGAAGCTACGTACGATTTGATACTTATCTGTCTACCTATCGGGATACAATTACGAGAATTTGTTATGTATCGTGTTTCTCATAAGATCTCTTAGAGTTATAACTGATGAAAATTAATTCGCCAAAATTCTATATCATGCTTTTCGACATGATAATGTATACTATAAAATTTATTTCGTGCGTACAAACCAACAAGAATTAATTGAAAACCATGCGCAAGAAAAAAAAGACTATCTCTTCATTGTACAGCTATTTTAAAATCCATTAATATTTAAAGAGATATTTTTGGACTTTTGGTTTCTCATTCGGACGAATTTCGATTTTTCACTGACATTACTTTCGCCAAAATACTCAGTCTATTGTAAAGTCTGTCTAAAAGTGAGCGAAACATTTGCGAGAGAAAGTACAGTAGCGTGCTTATTCATTTTATTTTTAGTTTTATAGGCAAGATTGCAATGTAATACTGACTCAATAGCGTAATTTGGTAGTAATCGGATATAAGCCACGGCCCTACTCTATACTTGGGTATTATTGATGTGATTAAACCAAGATTATTAAATCTCGATAAAATTAGCTGAAATCCTTGTAAATATTTTATATTTTTAAGAAAAATCTGTTGACACAGAAAACTAGTCATATAGATATATTCGAGTGCTAACAGACTAAACACAGATCTTATTATGTCTTTTGCATTTATAACACGTGCTTGGCCAAGAAATACCGCTCCAATTTCATACCTCGGTCAAATCAATTTCAGTAAAGCATTTCTCACTAAGTAAACGACTAACCCTACTAGAGGTATCTATTACTTACAACAACATAAACTTCGATCTTAAGTATGTAAGTAGATTATCAAACTAAATTGAATGTGTATAGCTTTATAATACAAATTATAAACGACGAAAAAAAAGCGCGACGACTGACTCGTGGATATTATGAAAAGGCTGTACGATGACAGTGATAAATAAATACTTTAACTCGAAAATACTATTAATTGAATACACTCTCACCTTTTGAAAATCTATATAATCGTATATGGAATCGAAATCTTACACAGTACATTTGTTTGGAGTTATATATTCATTTTTGGAGGGACGGTAGGTCTCCTCGTGATACAATGGACGTAAATATAAAGTCTATAATAAAACACGAAAAATTCGAGATTATATTTAAAGTAAATTCTGATGGATGGAGTACGATGATGATCACTTGTCGTGTCGACTTTTCTTTTATGACTAATTGCCAATCCATAATCAATAATATCAGATTATGAGATTGGTTGGGCGAGTGCATATATGCGAGAGTATAAGAAATAAGAAGGGATTATATATATATATATATATATATATATATATATATATATATATATGTGTGTGTACTTGACTGTGTGGTTCACACAGCTTCCAGTACGAGCATATCATGTTATACATTATGGATTTACGTCGAATCCTCATTACATAGCGAAAAACGCAATATTGATGAATATTATTCTAAATAAACTACAATACGAAGAAACGAATTGTGATTTACTTATTTATATGGAATTTAGTGGCAAAATCCATTTTGTACAAATTTAACAACCTACACTTATTCACGCATTTATCGCGTGTATACTTTCTCACGATCTTGACAGAGATTTCAAGCTCCCTCGTTGACGTGCGTACGATTAAGTAGATAGTCGAGATCGTGAGAGATGCGGTCTAGCATACCGCTAGTCGTGCTGTCGCAACCACTAGTCACCACGATCTCCGGGGTTTTTTCCTCGCCGTCGGGCTGCTTACGCTCACTCGTGTTGGCGATGTCCGGCATAGCGCTCACTACATGCTCTCGGCTCTTCACCTCTGCGCTCGTTCGTGACGACAGCTCGATGTCGCTCTTTACGGCCAACGTGACATCCGGCATCGCGCCCAATCGCGATTCCACATCGGCGCTGCAGAGGACTTTGGCCGAAGACTCAGGGGACACGCTCGCCGCAGGCAGGAAGATCTTGCCGTCACCGCGATACTTGCTGACATCACTGCGGAAAGTGCCGTGATCGTTGACACCGTAGGTCAGCACTTCGTTGACGCAGCCACGAGAATTGCGCGCAGGAAACGCTGGGTCGACAAATACCGGCGGTTCTTGATACTTGCGCGGGCTCGTATTGTAATTCTCAAGATCGATATTGTCCGAATGATCTATTCGAATCTCCGGCAAGAATCTGCCGGTCGCAGGGACGGAGGGCTTGATGTAGGATGAAGACTCGGACACGAATTCGCGCATATCTATGCTACCTGCAGCAACACCTCGCACTTCCCGATACGGTTCGCCGGAAATCGACGACGGCGCCGGGGGAGTCGCTGAATCGTTTTCCACCTCAGCATCAGTTTTTGAGCACACTGACGAACATAATAAATATTAGCATTTTCATAATACAAATATTCTGACTTTTCTAATATTTTGTCAAAAAAATGACATAATATACCAATTAAAATGAGTAGCAATGTCTTAACAAACTGCTAGTACCTTTGATGGGTTCTGATGTGTGTTCCTCGTTTACATTGCGTTTCCATCTGATTCTCCGTAGCATTGGTCCGATAATCGTACCCTCGCCGTTAACGATGTACACAATTATTATACTGAAGCCCTGCGTATTAATAATTAGCGAATAATTTTAATGTTTTATTTATTATTTGTCATTTATTATTATCTATCAGAAACTTACCAAGGCGAAAGATAAGGACGCAAATACGTAGTGAAAAATGATGGACGATGAATTTATATAGAAAATAGAGGACGCTTCCATGGAGACGATGCCGCATATCACGATAGCTGCGCGATGCAATATTCGTATTCTACGATAAAAAAAATGTAAATGGTTCGTAAAAGGACAACAAATGTTAACATAAATTCATAAAATATTTTACTGACACCTACCTCATTTCTATAGCTTCTCTCTTCATCACGTTTTCTTCCATTAAGGTATGAACCTTGTGGAGCATCCCCATATACAGCAGCATGAATACTAAAAACATCATTGTAGCGCAGCTGACAAATATATTATAAACACCACTGCCATACATGAGCCACCAGGATTCGTGTCGCCATCCGGTACTTTGATGTGTTAATTCGGTTGCAAATACAGCCAAAATTGGTACACCTAACAAATGCGATCACAAATGATGCTTGGCAATACTCTTTTATACGTATTTCAAAATCGTTTAAAATTGAATCGTACCAGTTATCACGGCGATTACTGTTGGTTGAAGATGTTGGCTCGGTCGAATTTGCGTGAGTTCAGCGTATACTATTAGAGCCTCGGAAATAGGCGCAGACATGCCCACAAGGAGAAACGCTTCTAATCCTATCGCTACGAGCGAGTAATTTGACTGAAACAACAAGGAATTGATGAAAAAAATGTTCAAAATTAGAAAAAATCAACTTTATAATTTATAAGACCTTTGAATATTCAATTATATTCAAAATAAAACTGTATATCCAGTTTATAGCAAGATTTATCACAAACATCTTTGTAAGATTAGACTTCAAGGTAAAATATTACATTTAAAATAGACCTTGCAGATTATAGAATTAATATTTTGAACGAAAATGAATGGTTACTTCTGGAAGATTAGTGTGAATAGCATAGATGAAGATAGCCATTGCGCCGATCAAAGCACCGCAGCACTGAAGTTTTAAAAAATTCAGCCAGCTTTTATGCTTCCACCAAAAAGTGCCGAGTATCAGGGCAGACAGTAAACATTGCACAAGGCAACTACTGCATCCAAATATTATGATAAACGTGGTCTGCTCTGTTTTCGCCAGTACTACCTATAATGTTTGAGAAGTTAATAAAGTGCGGTTCTTGTGCGCTATAGAAAATTGTAATACATAATTTGTAAATTAATTTTTTATTTATTATTCTAGGAAATATATTTTAAAAGTGATAAAATATCATTTAGAGATTTTTTTACGTCAAATTACAGCTGTACTTACTTTTACTGCATGAGCTGTTAAAAATACAGCAATTGTACCCGTAGTAGGGCATAGGCAATGCGTCATATCACCGGACACTGTATTCGCTATACAAATATTTAGATCCCACGAGCCAGTGCTATCTATCAGGCCGCACGACGTATTCCAAGAATTTGTCTGATTTTGTAAATGTCGAATTTGTAGATCGATCCATATCTTATTATATTTATCGGTGCCGAAGGAAGGCACCGCAACAGTGATTATTCGAGAATTGATGCGAAATTCTAAGTCCGTGCCATCGCTACCATGATAAGATTATCATATTTTTTAGTTTATATATCTTAATAAATTGAAAAAATTAGTATTATAATTAAAAAAAGTTCAATTTAAATTTGATTTCTTTCTATATATATTTCTTTCTATTTTCTTTCTATATATGTTTACTTTTCATTTACTTCAACTTAATTAATTTTTTAGATTCATAAAAAAACTTAGATTATTTTTGTCTCTTGTCTTTTCTTCTTAAAAAAAAAAAATTTTTTTGAATAAATCGACTTACTCAAGCTCCTTAACGTAAGCCGTAGGTATAAAATGTGACATGTTTTTGTAGACAATAGAGATTCCGGTAAATGTATTATTAAATTTTATGTTGCGCTGCTTCTTTTTCCATAATCGTATAACTATTTTATCCTCATACCAGTCAGGGTATCTGTTATAAATAAGTAATCATTTATAATATAAAAATATAAAAGCTATGGTCATAATTTTATATAAGCAGAATATATTATTTTGGGTTAAATTCTCTGTAAAGAAAGAAGATCTATTGCATAATAGATATATAAAAATAATTACATATAATCAGGCGAAGGTATTTGAAGAGAATGCGTAATACTATCTCCACTGTGAGATTGCAGTTGCTGAATATCCACAACCATAGATGATAAAGACAGATGTTTGTATACATCTTTCAATTGTTTGGACCAATGGATTAGGTTGCGTTGCGTAAGTTGAAGCAACACCGATATTTTCTAAAAATAAACATATGAATTTTAACTTAGGGATAGATGAAAGAAGAATAGCCTTGAATATAAAACAATTTTGAATAATATCTTTTACATCCTTTTTACATCCTTTTAATACTTAACATAAGAGGGTTAAATATTATTGTAATATTTAATATTTTACTACAAGTGCAATGTATGTACTTGTAGCACGCCCAACTTTTATTTATGAAATTGAATTTCATGTTCGAGATATAATTATTTGAGTCGAGTTCGAAATGTTGCCAAGAAATTATTATTTGAGTCTGCTTTTCATTTAGAATTAGTATCCATTTTTACGTCTACATAATTTTCTTATATCTACATACATACCTCTTGAGTTAAAATTGAATACTCATCACTGAGTATGCGATTTATTATATAAGTCAAAACTTCCGTAGAGGTGAATGCATCTCGTGGATCGATATTGTACTGATATCGTTCAATTTCTGCCAACATGCTCATTATACGATCGCCTTCACCAGGGTAAAGCGGCAATGTACGTTTACTCAAGATCTTCCAAAAGGCGAGAATCGTATCTGAACTGGTGATTTTTTGATAACCCAATGTTAGGCTTCGAAACTGTAAATTAGATCGAATTCTCAATGTTGAGTGTATTGCTTCAATAATTTAGAATATTTTCACTTAGTTGTGTAAAGCAGCGTTCATATATATATATATATATATATATATATATATATATATAGAGAGAGAGAGAGAGAAATTAAAAAGCTAATATTTTTTTACTAATTTCTCGCTTATTTTATTTTATATTAAAATCATATCAATTTTCTATTTTCTATTTTCATCGTAATAAACATTAAAATTTATTTCATAATTAGACATTAAAAAATATTGCTTTTTAATTTTTAATCTCTATTACAATTTATATCTATTAAACATATATTTTTTTACTAATTAAAGTTATTTTAATGAGTTCCTGAATAAGTAATGATTGATTCTTTCTAAATTGATTGGAAAATATTAAGAAGAAGATAAGATATTTACATTATTATATGGCAAAACCAAAGGTTCATATAAACAAAATGAAAAATCCGGTATCTGCCATTCAGGTGTGGTAGCATCTTTCATCGAGCAGAGTCTGGATACTCGTTGGCCTACGAAATATCGGGGGCATTCTAGCAGTGCTTCTGATCCTGGTGCAGTATCTGGCCATTGCAAACCCCAGGATTTTCCTTTGAAGCATATCGGTATCAACGTTCGATTCAAAACTTCAACTCGCACAGACATAGACTTGTGCGCTACGTTGCAGGTGTAAATTGCTGATTTCTAAAATGTTAAACGAACATTCTACATTGAAAAAAAATCACTGTCAAATTTATTCATTAATTTTCTCCAATGTCTGTTTGTCAATTCTATTAGCAAGATAATTTAAAAAAAAGGAAAGCTAACGTTATCTCATATTGAATTCCGATAATTAATTTAATAAAGAACTCAATATGGATGATACTTCTACCTCAATATTAGTGATTTTTAGAATGCTACCCGCTGGATACAAATCCTCCCAAACTGCTCGACCGAGCTCCAGTTTAAGTAAGGCACGATTTTTCGTCCAACCGAATCCGATGCCGATGTTACGCATATTGGGAGTCATGCACGTCAGCTGTATATTATTGCCCTGCAAACAATATTAATATTTGTCTTTTATTCAAAGTTTAATTATTTGTACATTAAACAAATTCACTATTTCGGCTTACTTTCTCTATAGTGGCGCTCATCGGTACCACCTTCACGTCTGGTTCATCCCTGACCTCGACATAAATACTCTTACATTGCTGCACACCCCAATCAATCACCTGACACGTGTATTGACCGGCATCGAGCAGATTTGCTTTCTCGATTTTCAGTACCGATGTGTATACATCCGATCCATCGTTTGGCAAATGGCCAATCCAAATTTCTCTAAAATAATAATATGATCAACGATGTGTGTCGAAGTATGTACAAATCGAAGAAGTTCCACTTCACAGAGAGTAAAATATATATACTCAAAACATATATACATATATACTCAAATTATGCAAATTAATTAAATTTGATTACTTTAATTATTATTTTACGATATTGTAACATAAATCTGAGTTGTGGTTACCTGATAGCTTTACTCGTGTTCACCAACATGCCGTCTTTGTACCAAGTGAAACTTATACTATAGCTTCCTTGAGCAGCGCAAAACAAGACTATTTGCTCTCCCAAGTGAATTTCATAATCGTTTACCTGATTAATACGTAGACTCTAAAAAAAAAATGATTTCTAGCATTGTTCAGTAATTAAACATAAAATGTTAATTATTTCTAATATTTTCAATTTTAACTGAATTTTCAATTTATTTAAAAAAAAATTTTTTTTTAAATCGTACTTTTAAATTACAAATAATTTTAACGTTTACGATTCTAATAAAATTATTTATAATAGAGTTATTTATTTACAAGAACTCTATATTAAACTGATGAATAAAAAGGAATAATGTTTATTTTTATTCGCTCAAAATAGAGTCAAACCGTTCGATCTTCTTCATTTATGTATTTTTATTTTTAATTAAGGTATATTTTATACATTGACAGTTTGCATGCTAATTACATTAGCTTTTTTTATTCATTATTTTATTCATTAATTTATAGTTTTGTTCTACTTTGATGATATTCAACTGTAATATTATTAGTTAGATTTATATTAAATTACTGATTTATACCTGCAACTTAAGCGCAGGTTTTTGCTGAAATGTAAAGTGCGTGGATTCCAACCCAATTTCGCCGAGGCGTCGACGCTGTACGAGTCGATTGAGAGATTCACGGATTTTATCTCCATCGTCGGAATTCCCGAAAAAATGAAACGTAACTTCGGCCGTTGGTCTGTTAAGGAAAACAGCATACAGTAAAATAGCGACTTAGTGCAAAAAATATTTCTCGCACAAAGTACAAATTTTTTTTGTATCGCGAAATGAATATTTTAATTTATAGCAAGATAGATAGATAGATAGATAAAGAGAAAGAGACTGATTTAGTTTTTTACTTAAATCATTTGACGCAATCCAGCTTATATTTTGCATATAATTGTGCATTTTATCCTCGAATGTGTACCTACTCACGTAACGTTCAGGATTTTTAATTCCTCCATGGAAGTAATATTGGAGTTCCTTAAATACTTTGCGAGCTACGAGAGAAGTTTGAATAAATTAAACAAATATGAAATTATCGATTATAAATAGAATAAATGAGATACAGGAAATGAAGGAAAGAGAATAAGGATACAGGAACTGAGGAAAGTAAGAGTTCCTTGTATTTTTTTAATATCATATGTATATTATTATCAATGACAATGTTATACATTTACATTGTTCTTTCTTCGATACATCTCAATTGTCGATGTTTACAAAGTATAACAAAGATTAGTTTCTTTCGACGACAAAATGTATAGTTGAAAAATATATGTGTTAATTAATATTTTACATTCAATAACCATTTAATATTTCACATTTAACATTCAACAATTACCGAATGTTGCGAGTGATTCCGAGAGGAAACACCACTCGCCTGCTCATAACGCTTATTCTAACGATGTAACAGATCTGTTCTTCTCAGCTGCTTCTTATTATACTTTCTGCATTCAGATACAAAGTACTCAAGAATCAAAGGAGAGTACAGAAAGTGTTTTTAAACACAGCTAAAACTTACAGATTTGGCAAGACAGATGATTACATCTCATTCAATATAAAATGTCCATTAACAGCAGCCTCGTTGGTGAGACACACAGGACACATTGCTTGCCGAATCGAAATTCCCTCTTCTTCCATCCTCTGCGTGGAGTCTCTCCCCGACGCAGGGCTCAGCAAGACGCTTCTGGTTTGTGAAAGACCGCGTGTAATCCGGTCCGGTAGGTTCAGCTCTCAAGGATGAGTCTTTGAGTTTCACTTCGGCAACTTCGGCAAATTGGGCAAGAAAAACGGATCGTCGTTGCTTATCAGGACGCACGATAGATCCGTGCTTCCTGGACACAAATGGAGCCGTATCGTCTCCTTGGGCACGTTTAACACCTCGATTCCGATCTCCCGGCAATAAGCCTCGAGCAGTGTCATCTGAAGGTGACTGGCCGCGTCCATCTCAATATCGAAGGGCACCAGGCAGACGCTCCCCCGACTATTGCATCCTCTGGAAGCCAGTTCTCGAAGTGTCGGCAGCATGCCACACGTGACGGTGCTTCCGTAGCAGCGAGACTCGCACCACGACGCTTTCCCACTGTAAGTCATTCTCGATCAATTATTTGCGCCTCGGGATCGTTATATAAGCCGGCGCGACGCAGCGTTAAGCGATACTTGGAACGACGAGTTTCACGAATCGGCACGATGCGATATTAATTTATACTCTTATACGTGGAAGACGTAGAGCACATTCCCGCATACCTTCTCGTAACCCTTGAATCGCTACTGATAAGACTACATTTGACATTTCTACACAATGTCAAAGATATAACACAAGAATTTCAAGATACTGAGATTTCCTAGTAAAGTTTTAGATTACATCCGATAACAATTTTCGCAAAGTCAAAAGAAAGTCAAGAGAAAGTCACGAGATACGTACGTTACTTTTAAATACGTTATCTGCGATAAAGTAATTTCTATCGAGAAATAAGATACAGAAATATGCACGGTAAGCCTTTTATTGCACAATGCGAAACGACAATTTCTCACCCGAGCAAACAGACGGAGCGATAAGTCAAAATTGTCTCGTCGTGACCAAGCACTTCTTTATCACCGCTGGGAAATCCACGGCTTGTGCTCCGCACGAGAAGATTGCGCGTGACAAACACGTGGAAATCTCGCGCGTCTCAAACGTTTCCCTTCGATAGCTACCTGTCAGACATCGTGGCCTGTGCGTGATAGGATTGCGGCTCTTGGCAACAAGTCATATCGGTCTTCGTTTTCTCGTTCGGTGGTTTAATCCTCAATGCGCCTCTCTTGCACACTTCACTGAACGTGGGAATCTTCGAGGGCACGGTACGGCCTGTCGGACGAATTTTTAACGTTGTCGTCGACCGGCTTAGCAGCTCAGCTCTCGTCGTCTCACTGAGTTGAGTCGAGTCACTTCTGCGCTTTCCTCTTTCTCTATTCGCTTTCACTATTTGCTCTGACGCAAACTCGCGCAACACTCGCGTAACTACTCTCGCAGTAAGATCATTGATCGACTGGTTCTACGAGACTTGGACGTATGATTCAGCGGGCTCGATGCACGTGGCTTTTATAGAGATCGCTCTCCCGCCACTCCGTCGCTACGTCCCCTCCACGGTTTCGCGGGTATTCCGTATAGATCGTCGCTCGGGTATGTACATGTACAACGGAGCTTTTTATCGATATGCACATCCAGTACGGTGGACTTTACCGGGAAACCCAAGGAAAAAGGCCGTGCGGATAAAACCGAATTAAATCCCGAATACTGAATTTCCCGGAGAAAATAGAATGGCACTTTCAGGTCCTAGAACACAAGTTTCTCTGAGAACAAAACAGGAAAAAATAATTAGACGAAAAAAGCAAATAAACAATGCAAACAATGCAAAAAAGGCTAAAAAATTGCATCTCTTAATAACAAAAGAATTAAATACAAATACGTGCAACTTGGTATCTTATCTAGAAAATATATAATATAAATATATAATATAAATAAATAGTTCAAAAAATATCTAGTATAAATAAATAGTTCAAATTGAAACAATTCAAGTTATAAGCGAAAATTATATGAAATTGACAAACTGTGTAGCAGACTGTAAAATTAATATAGGAATTGTAGGAAAAAAAAAATTAAAATCGAATATCAAAATTTGAGCAATAAAGAATAAAAAATTTTATTTCACGGAATTCTAAAAGATAAGTAACGATGCCAAATATCGCGTTGATATGGAAATGAGTCAACTCATAGAGTCTCGTACACATGATTCATTTTAACGCCGCTGGAATGTCACACATTATAGTTGCACGATCGATAAACATCTATAAGTATAATTTCGATCTTTGCACAAGTTTGCGTGTGTAGCTTTTAAATGATTCGTTGAAACACGGTTGAACGTAAGTTCAAGGTAAGTTTATGAGAAAAATTGTCGCGTGAGCGTCTCTTTGGTTTGTGTTCCACATACATATTAATTATTCTTTACTAATAGAAAGAAATAGAATGAATTAGAAATGAGATGCGGTAGAATTTCGACGAAGAAAGATATAGTTACAGTAAAACTTCAATTCTCTGTCACTATTCCATATTCCTTGCGGCTCGAAACTTATTGACAATTATAATGTTGATATATCGGCCAAAAAATAACTGAAACAAAATCACTCTGCTTATTAATATTATTTAAAAATTAGTGTTGCTTTTCTCTTACTATTACTAAGAACTGTTCATTATTCATGACGGAAAAACCATATCGATTAATCTCTCAACAAGTTTTTCTCAACAAGTAATAAATTTTTCTCAACAAGTAATAAATATTTTGATTCTGACAAGATTGCTTCAGATAATAAAAAATTACGTCTAGATTTAAATGATCTCATGTAGGTGAAATTCCATGTTTAACTTTATAATGAGATAAAAATTTCAAAAGAGAATGTTGACCGAGAACCAGTTGTGTTGGAAAACATAATTACTTAATAGCAGCGCAAATAAGTTTCCATCAACGGCGAGGAACAACGTTCAGGCCGAGGTGACGCGTTTATGTATCAATTCATATGGATTGTTCAGCGATCTCGTCGTTACTTTCAACTTCATCGATCTATGACACGTGCGTTGTTCATATTGTAGATTGTCACGATGATATTGCGCTTTGTAACGAAGTTCATCAATAATTGTGGAAAGTTCACTGCTGGAACAAACAAGGTCTGAAAAATACGTGGCACTTTTAATCCGTTCTGCAAAAAAATGTTCTGCTCGTTAAAATAATTCTGAATTACTTTGTGCGTATATTTGAAAAGTTACAAGCGAGACAGGAAAATTCTTGTGGTTTGCATCATGCATGTGCTTGGTGTCAACATCTTGTTTCATCATTCGCGAGCATTTGACCAGCAATGTTGATCGATTATTGCAACTATTTCGGTTAATAAACTTCATTTTGTTAGATAACTTACTATCCTCATTGATCACCCTCATACTATCCTCAATCGATTACACGTGTCATATTATATTATTAGTACACACACACACACACACACACACACACACACACACACACACACACACACACACACACACACACACACACACACACACACACACACACACACACACA